TGGGGGGGTTCGACTCAGAGAACTCATGTTTCAGACTAGAGATTTCCACGCCAATTTAGGAACTACTGGAGCATCACTTCTCTCTAAGCTTCTAGTTACCCAAGCACTTATATAACCTCCTTAAGGTGAACACAAAGCAGTGCTAAGAGGAAAAAAGGCAGTGAAGAACTTCTCGGGCAGTGCTATTTTTATTGAAATTTCCCCCTTCAAAATTAATGTAGCTATTCATAAAACTAAAAACTAAAGATCATTGACAAAGGGGATACAACACTACTATCAGTTAAATTTACTAGAGACGCTAATTACATAATCATGACAAAGCAACTCCGGTATCCATTCTGATACATGATTACTGACTTTGTGGTACAACAGCCTAATCTCATAGAACACATGATTCTATTAAGACTCTGGTTAGAAATAAAACATGCTAAAAGCATCTGATGAAATATCAGCACACTTAACCTATCAGAAGAAATAGAATGTATGACATAATGGTGCTGATAACAGCCTTAACCAATAAAAACTTTTACCTTCGGCCTGATCACCGGAAACGGCAAGCAATAATTTAAATCTTTCATAACTTTTGCTTGAAAAATGATATCCTTACCATCAGACGTTTAACAGAAGAGGTGATATAGAAGATGAAGTCACGACAACCACTTCCATTCACCATCGAAATGCCATTGACCTCATAATTGATGCCCTAAATCAGTCGAGTAATTTCTTAGATACTGAAAGAAAACAAAGGAAAAGGACAACAAGTAAAGACAAGGAAAGTGCATCTACAGTATACCGTTTCATCATTGTATGCCAACATTCTTAGGATCATTCAAGTAGTATGGCATTGGGTAGACAGTTGTCATCGCACTCTGTACGGGATAATCTGTGATATCAAATCCCTGCAAAAGTACAATGCACCAATAAGAGACAAATATCACCTATTGAATCCAATTTCTATGTAATTCGTTAGTCTTCAGAAAAATTGTAGAACCTATATCAGGCAAGTATGCAAAGATACATTGGTTTGGAAGTACCAAATAACATGGTGTGTTTTTACAAGGTAAGATAATTGAATAGTAAGTACCAAGTAGGAAAGTTGTTACAATTTCAATTAAGCATGTTAACGAAATTTAGAAATTGCCAAAAAATGTCAGCTGTCCTACCCTTGCACCAGGAAAAAAATATCAACAATCGTCTAAAAAAATTAACAACGGATATGACTTTTTGGCCTTCAAAACACCTCCTATTTCTCTCCAACCAGACCATCCACATTATGCATGAAGGGATAGTTCTCCAGATTTCCTTTGCTCTAATGTCAACCCTCTGATGCTGCCGGCATTCCAACAGGTTTCTCATATTGAGACTTAAGTGGCATTGTCCATTCCACCCCACGTAGATTTGTGTAGACTGTCCACACTTAATAAGCAGATGACTAGCAGATTCTGCGGCTTCTTCACATAGGAAGCATCTATTGCATAAAACAAAAGCCTCTCTATCTTTGCAACACGTCTTGAGTGAGGCATGCATTCTTAGTTGCTACGTATCCAAAACAAACTGCTTTAGGAGAATCAAGCTCTAGTCTTCCAAAACATCTCACATGGCCAGTTATTCTCCACCGAATCAATCTGCCTCTCCAATAGCGTGTAACAACTCTTCACACTAAATTTCTTACTTTTACTAACAGTCCGTACTTTAGAATCTATTCTTCTTGCAGCAATGCTGATGTTATCCAATAAACTCAACAGCTCACTGATTTCTTTCACCTCCTCGTCATTGAAATTTCTTCAAAAGCTGAGAAGCCAGCCTTAGATCAACCCTTAATCTGAACTCCAATCTATGCTGCCTCCCCCACCCTCAAAAAGAATTCTTCTCTAATCCTGGAGCTTATCCATGCTTCGATGTACTTATTGAACCTAAGATCTCTTTAACATTTCACGCGATCCATCTCATTTGGATTCATAATCTGACCAGTTGAATCAGCTTTCCCTATGATTATCTATGCAACAACTACTATAATCCATCAATCACAAGCAAGTTGAGGTCGACTACATGAATTATCGTTGATAATGATGCTCCATTTAAGCTCATCTTACCATTATCTACTATCATGTACAATATTTAAACAAACCAGCTGCAAATGAAGCCGACTTTTTAGTCATTTTGGTGAAATGAATGGAATAAACAGGTTGAGGCTGGTGGGAACTACCCTAGATTCATATAAAGGTTGATATGCAAACTACATACTCCTAAATCACCATAAAATATTGCTAATTTTGACTCAAAATTTTTCATATACAGGTCGTTAGGCAAACTACAGACTCCTAAATCACCTTAAAATATAGACTCAAATTTTTCATAAATGACTCAAATTAGAAAGGAATAATAAGGTTACCTCGCTTTTCTTAACCTGTTGGTAGTACTTCTCCCAAACAGCTTTATCCATTTTCTGGGGCTAATATGGGTGAAAATCTTCCTCTGAATCATACCGGCTATATGGGGGTAATATGGGCAAAAATCCTTCTCAAAACATTTTTTATTTTCTTAAGTTAAAAAATGTGCAGGTATTTTTATAAATAAATATTATTAATTTTTAAGGCAAAAGGATCTGCTAGATTCTTGTACTTATATGTGTCTATATTGTGAATATATTTGTACTTAATTCTTTACTAACTAAATCTCTAAACTCATTGAAACTCGATATTTTATACCTTTTCTCATATAATGGATGGTGCGTGTAATACAATCATTTCACGTCAAGTTCCACGTCATTTTTAATTGCCACATAAAAAATAAAAGATAAAATTAAATTAGATCCCCAAAATTAAAAAAAAAATCTCTTTCTTCCAATTTTCTTCCAAATTTCCATTCTTTCTCCCCTCTCAATCCAAAGGTTCTCACTAGTAAAATGGATTGCCGACAAGATTGATCACACAACACAACGTAATGGTGGAATTACGAATTAAAGATGGAGAGGGCGACTGCACATTCGATTTGGAAAAAGTAGCGATGAACCCAAACTATAGGTTGCTCTCCCAAACCCTAAAACTAATGAAGAATCAATTGTCGTCCAAATTACTTAACCTTTAGAATCTTCTCATTCACTCCTCCCATGTGTTTTTTTTTCCTCCCTTCTTTGTAATTTTGGATTAATTTTAAATTTTTAGCTTTTTATAATTTGTTCATTGAAAAAAGGGTTTTGTGTTTTGAAGATTTGCAGATGCGGTTGGTGCCTTCGGCGGTCGGAGGAAATAAGATACTTGTTGAAGACTAAGATTGATAAGTCCATTTATTTTTTGTGGAACAATAAACAGGCAAAATGGTCTGATAGACCCTTATACTTGTATGCATTTGTATTCTGAACCTTCCTACTTAACACTTTGTCAACTAAACCCTTAAATTCATTAAAACACAATATTTTAAAGCCCTTTCTCATCACATCACTATGTGTGTAATCCAACCTCGTACATGTAAGAAATTAAATATTAAGAAAAAAAACTAAATATTTAACTTTTGGAAATTTTTGAATAGCCATGTTCTTCAACCTCCATATATGCTCAAAATTTGAGCACCAAATTCACGTCAAATAGATGAATTTTTTCTTCATTTGACTTGAAATTTCAACTAGAAGTTCAAAAACACAACCTACTAGCAACAATCACAAATTTGAATTAATTTTACAAATTCATAAGACTTATTTGTTGTTCTTCAAGTTTTCTCAAACTAATCAATGGAGTTTTCAACTTTTTCAATACTCACTATCACCCTTTACATTAATCCATAACATACCTTCTCTTTAAATTCAACACAAATAATAGTTTCAACTTTTAAAATAAAAAACATTTAAAATTTAGATAAAGGGGGCTGAAAAAAGAAATTAGGTGTGAGGTTTGATTTGTTGCAAAGAGGAAAGTGGATTGAAGAAGAAGAAAAAAAAAGTATATGACAGGTGATTTCGAAGAAAAAAAAAGAGAATGGGTGTGGTGGTAATTTTGTTGAAGAAGAAGAGAAATACGGGTGGGGGCGCGGTGGGGTGGGAGAGGGTTAATGAAGAAATATTTTTTTTTAATTAAAAAATATTTTTAAATAGAAAATAGCGTAATGATGCGTTTGGAAGCGAGTGCATTTACACATTTTTCCAACTCAGCAATATTTATGCCACATATGTTTGGTCAATGGTTAGAGGGGTTTCAAATATTGTGTTTTAATAAGTTTAAGGGTCCAGTTGACAAAGTATAAAGTAAGAGGGTTCAAAATACAAACTCATATAATTAAGTATAAGGGTTCATCAGACCATTTCGCCCAATAAAAATAATTTGTATTTGTGGAGATTCTTTTGTAGAGGAATAAAGAATGGATTTGCACAAGAAAAAATGAGCCATTTGAAGAAGAAGAAAGGCAACAATGAAAAAAATGGAGAAAGAATTTGGACAGAAAGATTATAAGAGTAGAAAAACCCCAAAAAGTTTTTTTTTTGTTCCATAATGAAGAATGAATAAATGGGGAAGAAGATGACTCTTAGATAAGTCAAAAATTTACATTTGCTATCTTTTTTGAAGACTTCACGCGCCTAAAAATGTGTATCACACACACTTTAAACAAAAGTGACACACAGAATGACAAGTGAAAAAAAAGATTTAAAATACTAGATTTCAATGGGTTCATGGATTCAGTTAGTAAAAAGTTAAGTACAAGGTTTACAATACAAACACATACTAGTATAAGAGTCCACTAGACTCTTTTGCCATTTTAGTAAAGATCATAGTTATCCTTCATCATACTTTTTGATGTATTTGTTTTTGACACCCAAATTTAAAGCCAAATTTATCTTCCATCCGTTAAATCTCCATATTTCCACATAATATTATCTATGTTGTGCCTACATGGATTTTTTTACCTAATTAAATCTAAACATTATAAAATCATTTTAACTTGCTTATAAAATTAAACCTGATCTACTAACCACCAAAATGAACTCAAGACCAAGTCCATAACTATTATGGTTTTGAATTTATGTTTGTCTAAGAGCTTTATGAGACGGGTTAATGGAACAGAGGAATGAATATTACAGAACTAAGCTTCCATTGATTGATTTGGAAATTTGGAAAGGAATATTAGAGAACATATAGGTCTGAAGTTGACAACATGTATCATCTCCACCACCAAACAAGTCCGACCAGCCTTGAAACACCTTTAAACCACTATGTAATCGTCAGATCTCTACCATCACCAAAAAATCGAAACACCATCCCTGAATCATTGAACAGAGCAACCAAATAAATATATTCTCGAACAATATTAAATATTTTAGATATATAGAAGTTTTCTCGTAGTTTCTTTGAATTTAGTCTTACCTCCCCGTTTCACCATCGATAGCCACCAGAAACTAACTTGAATCCTCCATCTTCATTGTTGAACCTCACTTCACTTTTTCGACCATCTGAAACCATTAAGAAAACAAAGTACATGTAGAATGTTTGTAAAATTCTACCTATTTTGAATAAAATGCTAATTAATCAATTTTATGAGTCGACATTAAAGATGAAAGTTAGCTCTAATTTACTTAACAAAAATATTGAATTGAATGTTAAATCTTTATTATCTAAAACAAATTGTTGTTTGATATGAAAGAGGAGATATAGGCTTTTCTATGTTTGTTCTAGCAGAAACGCCTATAGAGAAAATTTAAGCAGAAGAATCAAGTTGGATTTATTTTGATTAGTGGATTAGGTTTAACGTGTGGAGTAGGTTAAATGAATTAAATAATATTTTGATATAATTAGGAAAAAATAAAAGGATAAACTACCTTATTAGACATACATTACTACTATATATACTAATATTATCTTTACTTTTAAACAATTACATAGATTACCACTTTTAATATTTTATACCATATATTAATATATTATTTAAAAATTCAATTAGATACCCACATCCCTTAAAACTATTATTGATTAATTATCTGCTTAAATAACTCTTTCACTCCAAATCAACCATTATCTCTTAATTCTCCCCTCCAATGTTTATCACTCAATTATGTCTCCTCCTTTTTTATTCAAGAATTTCACCTTACAATTTCATTTCAACAATAGTTAATCTACTCTCTTCTTCTCAAGATATCATCACAACAAATTCTCCTGAACCCAAATATTATTTTATATTGTTTATTTATCACGAGTTCCAATCACAGTAACTGCTACTGAGAAAACTTTCAATTCATAGTGGGTTTTGATTGTTTGTCTCCGAAAGAAATGGATCTTAGTTTTGATTATGTTATAGTGGGTCTTGATTGTTTGTCTCCGAAAGAAATGGATCTTAGTTTTGATTATGTTATGCCACAGTGCAAAAGGATCAAAGGGAATATTGTAGAGAGTTTTTGTTTGCTGGTGTTCTTCTAAGACTTTCTTTGGTTACTGTGATGTGGATGTTGTAGTACCAATATGCTTTTTGTATATTCCATATTTAGATACACATAATTAGATGTATATGCTTCTTCTTTTTGTATATTCCATATTTAGATACACATAATTAGATGTATATGCTTCTTCTTTTTGTATATTCCATATTTAGATACACATAATTAGATGTATATGCTTCTTCTTTTTGTATATTCCATATTTAGATACACATAATTAGATGTATATGCTTCTTCTTTTTGTATATTCCATATTTAGATACACATAATTAGATGTATATGTTTACTATGTATTCGAGATACATGTTTTTGGATATAACATATGCAATTGATACTTGATACATCAAATTCATACTAGATACATATAAAAGATACATGAAATTAATATTAGATATATATATAAATAGATACATAAAATTAATACTAGATACGTATAACAAATACATGAAATTAATGTACTTGTATGACACTCATTTATCTAAATGTTTAGTTTGTTGGATACATCATATATTGATAATAGATACATCAAATTAATGAATTTATTATTTTAAGAGTAATAATTTGAAATTAATCAAATTACATTACCAAGATATACATGTTTTTATCTTATATTAATAATATTAATGAATTTACTATTTCAAAGAATAATAAAATGAAATTAATTATCTATGTATTTTGAAAATCCTAAATTACTCCTCTAATTAAGGAAATAAGTTACAACCAATTAATTTAAATAAATAAATTTTGTATCTCAATTTCAAAATTCGACAGATACATGTATCTCATGGATTCAGACTCATGTATCCTAATCATGAAATATGGTAGAGGAAGTAATATTTGAAACTATTGGGAATCTTAGTTATTAAGATCTAAACTAGTGGGATTTATGTGATTTGCCCAAAATAAAATCCATCTAGACGCCATAGGTCTTTATGTGGGAATATGAATATTTAATGGCTACAGGCTAAATATGATCTTAAAGTTTGATGACAAACACAAATAAATCAAAAAAAATATAACAAAGCGTAGATACAGTCATTTTCAAAGAGTATAGAGGTAAATATTCCTTTTTTCATTTCTAATACATCAAATCAAACAATGTACGTATTAAAATAAGGTGAAATGACCTAGAAAACTCATGTACTTGCTTCATTTGTCACATGGAACCTTCTACTCATATCATATATTATTAAAGATACCATTAGATACCCATATCCCTTAAAGTTAGTTATCTGCATAATTAAATGATCACCAATTCAAGCCTTCATATTAATCAATTCTCTCTCCCATCTCTCATTAATTATCTGCACATATTTAGATATCTTTGAGAAATCATGAATATTAATTTATTTTATTTCTATGAATTCAAGTCAGAAATGATTGATATGCACATGCAAAATATTTATTGATCCACATAAAGTTTGATCTTAAATGAGTTATTTGTTTATATGTGGAGACACACCAATATTTTGGTCTTCAATGAAGCAAAGATTAGTAACTGGTTACAAATCTTCAAATCATGCAAAAAAAAAAAAGTTATTCATAAAGCAAGTCTAGAGTGTGTTTCATTGAGATTACTGACCTATTATATTTTATAAAAAAAATATGAGAGATTTCTTTGAAAACGCGTATTAATAATCATGTATGAAGATAATGTTGCATGTATAACTTAATTAAAGGGAGAATACATCAAATGAGATCAAATTAACATACTTGATCAAAGTTTTTTTTTCAATATTTAATCCTCAACAAAATAGTGAGATAGATGTTCAAGTAATACTTGTTGGTGTATTATACCACGAATAATATAATTATAGTTGAAAATAAAATGACAAAAATGAATTAACAGATCTTTAGGCGGAGACGTGGATATTTCGCTCTCTTTAAGAAGATTCAAGCACACTACGACATAATCTACACTGATCCAGCAATACGTCTATTGACTTGTCCCCTCCAGGATATAACAGTCCAACAACGTCGTACAACTCAAACAACTCCAGATCAGTTGAAGAGTACAAAACTCCACAAAAAGAACACCTTCGTTCAACATATAATTACTCTCTTTTGCATAGTGAATTAATTGAAGACTTAGAATATTATTCTTTGTCTCAACTCGCCCTCTTTCACTACACTAACTCAATATATACACAATATACCACTTCTCATCTTTTCTTACACTCTTTCTCTTGTATATTTCTTGTTCTCAAAATTAAAATAAGAACACCACTATTTATATGTGATGAATTATTCCTTGCAATGAATAGGAAGATAATTGATAGTAAATTGGATAAATGGATAGCCCAAAGGTTACATAAGTTACAAGGTATAATGAGGTAGAATAATGAATGGAATTATTGATAGATCATGGCAAGAGTGATTACGAGAGTTACACCAAAATAATGATCACATTCTTGTCAACTTGTACCCACTAAAATATGCACTTAATATTTTTATTTTAATATTAAAATGCATAAACACCAACATTCCCCCACTCATTTCAATATTGAAATAAGAGAGTGTTTCACAATTTAGTTGAAGATAGACTATTATGCATAATGAAGGTGTGCTCTGCATTGGACCTTCACTTAGTAAAACAATAACTTTTATTCCAGAGTTAGTAGTGGTCTCAGACTTGAACTATGACTGCTACGGGAAAATAAAGTATTACTGCTTACGCACAATAATAAAGATGACATAAGCTTTTAAAGCCAACACATTACGGCCTTGTGCTATCTCGATTTTCATGAGTATTTTTCAAAACAAGCTCATTCTCATGATAGAAAGCGACCTACTTTCATACTCACATAGGTGAAATCTGTCAAGGGTGCTCCAATTATTTTAACACCTCGCTCATATGAGATACAAACTTTCATTAAGAGTTCAAAGACTCAACCTCCACAAATCAATATAGGATAAATGCACTCACATCATAGTGATTGAATAAAATTAATATTAGTGCATTTCACAACAAGTCATCATATGACTCGTTTTTTCCATTTAACCAGGTTATAGGATCTCTAGTCCCCATGTTGGGTTTCCTCATAAATGACTAAGAATTTATCAGCTTCAATTTCATCCCCTCAATGTGTTTCAGACCCTTTACCTTGCTAAGGCCTTATTTTATGAATTTGCAAGCTATTGTCACATGTTCTAACACAATCGATATTGATGGTATACCAGTGATCAATATGATCTCACAATATTGTGGTTTTTTCTTATGAGCCTGAATTTACAGTTACAATAACGATTTGGTATTCTATCAATAATATTAGTGCTATCACAATTAATCAAAATTTTAAAAATTAAATTTTCAAAATAAAGTGTTTGATATAATAAAATTAATCACTTTTTCACTAGTTGAAGTTTGATTATTTCACTTCAACCTCCAAAATAGAGTTAGCAAACAATATGATTTGTTTTTCTCACTTCCATCAAATAGTACCAAGTTTTCTCATCTGCACCAACAAAACTTTTAAGTATATCATAAAAAAAAATTCATAAAACAAGCCACCAAATGTAGTACCAAGTAAATTTACTTGTACATAATATCATATATATAAAGTGCAGTTAGTCACATATTTCATATTATTTATTAATTAGGCTATCAAACTCCTTTTTTCTTTGTCACACCATTTTCACAATTGAATCAAAAGGAGTTGCAAGACTCGCACAATCAATAAGATTGCATTTCACAAATTTTTCAATATTATTAGATTTGACATGAAAAATTTCATCACATGTTTATGATATTTTTTCATTCCAAGAATGAATTTATTCTCACCCAAAACATTTCATGTTAAATGACCACTCAACATGTTTTTCATAATTTATTTATAATTTTCATGTTAGAGCCAAAATCACCAAAGCATATCCAAATAATAACATGTGATTTATTTATCATAAACAAATGCACTTGTAATACCCTTTTTTTTAGAGCATTTCTTAAAGATGCAAAAATCATTTTTTTTCACAATGACTTTTTCCTCATTTCGTGAACCCCTCTTATTTTAAGAATTTAAATATCATTTTTTCATGAAAAATAATATTACTTTATTCATGAATATTAGGGAAAAAAAATTTCTTTAATTCTTCTTCGCTTGAATTGAGCAAGAAAATAATTTATCCGTGCATCTCTTCTCTTCCATCTCTTGAAAGAGCGACATTGAGCAGAATGATGTTGAGTTCTTCTATCTTGATATCCGCATTTTTTCAAACTGTAACAAAAACATGAATCTCTCCTTAAAATTATTGGTGTATTATTCCACGAATAATAGAAATTACAGTTGAAAATAAAATGACAAAAATAAATAAACAAATTTTTAAAATCATGAACGACCCTTTCCTTTTTGGTTATATTTTAAATCTTCACGTGATATGTTTAAGACTATAATATCAAAGTACATTTTGATCTATTTGATGAACTACATTTTTACTTTTTAAAATTCAATGTCAAAATTAAAGTGGGTCATTTTATTTCTAAAGGGAGATAATAATTTATAATGGCTGTACTTTAATTTTGATGGACGTGAAATATTTAAAAGTAGTTTAAAAGCCGCACTAGATTCCAATTTCAGAAAGGCGGTTGCGTTCGGTCATGAGGAAGATTTTTCAGCAAGTAAAAATATCAGCCCTCAAATAGAGTGAAGAGTGAGAAAAGTGTGGTGTGGATAAGATTAAGAAGATGATGAGAAGATCATTCAGTGGTGGCGGCGGTGGCGGAGGAGGAGGAGCTAATGGCGGCGGCATGTTAAGAGCCGTTCAAAGAGCAGTGAGGACAGGTGGTACTATAAACGGTGCCGCCCAAGAGTCCTTCTCTCACTCATCAACCACTAAAACAGCCAAAAGTAGTACTACTAGCGGCCACGCGTTTCAGAACAAAGCGAGTAATAACGCCGTTTCTCTCTCCTCTTCATCGCCTTTATCTACTCTTCCGTTATCTGCTGCTGCCCTTGCACCGGGCACCTGGGATTCTTCTTCCGAATCTGAAGAGTGGGAATGTTTAGAGGATAATAATAATAATAGTAGTATTTTATTTGATGATTATATTCTGGGTCCTGTTCCATCAACCGACGAAGTTCATCATGCAGTTTCTGCACTTCACCAGTGAGTTCCTCTAATTTTCTTTTCTCTTGTTTGTCCGTCCAAATATGTGATAATTTGGTGCTATTTCTTCTTCATTTCCAGTAAAATGACACCGTTAAAACCAGTTGATTGCTTTGTTTACAAGTACAAAAGCTCTGCCATTACAAGTCTATTTTTCATGGGATAATTAATGGGTAGTTATGTACGTACGTATTCACATTTTCGTGTCTCTGGGCCCTGGAATATATTTTTAGCTGTTAAGTAACCAGCTTCCAGTTCAATTGGAATCAAATGATACTCCCCGTCCGAATTATGTGATAGTACTATTCAAATTTGGAGAGTTTAACTTTTTTATTTTGATCACAAATTTGGACATGAATTTACATATTTGAAAACAATGGAGAAAGAGTTTAGTCACAAAAATTGACAAGTTAAAATATTTGCAAGGATATGAAAAGATTATGGTTAAACAAAAACTTGTTTGATGTTGGAAATCTAGAAAGTGTCGCATAAATTGGGACGGATACAGAGTAGTTCCCTTTTGTGCCGGGTGTTTCAGGAAATAATTTATTTTGTTAAACTTCTGTGACTAAATGCGGGAGTTTACTGAAGTTGGACATTCTTAGTAATGTGACTCAAACCTACCCCCATAGCAAGTTTTCTTTTTACTTAGTCTGATCTCTTTGTCCTTAATTTTTCTCCAAATAGACCAACTTTGAATGCGTTAGCCATTTTTACACCTAGTGGATGCGGTATACAAGAAGGGATCAATGAAACGGTTTTTGAATTTCTCAAAGTAGATGGTTACATTACAAATTACAATCATTTCCTAGATGAACAAGCTTGTTAGTAAAATTGTGCCAGACTGCCAGTTATGGTCCCTTTTCGCCCTGATTTATTAATTTGACATTGACGGATGGCTACATTAGAAGTGAGGCCCTACTTCTGCTGGTGCGAACTGGTAATAGAAATCCAGAATGTCGAGACATCAATTTGGTTGAGAAAACTTATTTGATGAACTTGGCCGTGACAGTAAATTGTGATGTTCATCAGTTCTCGATAGATATCAGGAAGGAAGGAAGAATTCCTGTTACTTTCCAATAGCAAGCTGCGAGCCTTTGGTTGTAAATCTCCCAAATTTATTCAAGTGTCATTGTTTGTAATTAAGTTAATTAATGTTGTTATAATTTTTTGGTACCTGAAAACTTACCTCATTGAGCTCTCAACTAGAATGGAGATCTTAACTAATTTCAGAATCATGTGGTAACTCTGCCTTATTATGATAGGCAACCTTGTCTGGCCTTAAGTCTTCTCCTTCTCTTTCTTTGTCTAAATTACAACCTGAGGAATTCAATGATGTGTTATGACTTATGAGTATATCTTTCTTTTAGCTATATTCCAATAATTTATACTTCTCATATATGGCTGCAGATATTAATCTTTATTTTTGTCGTATTTATTGTAAATATTCACTAGCTTCTGTTTTATATTGTTGGACTTCCTAGGGTCCTTGAACCAACCTATTTTGCATATTCCACCAACGACGGTCTTGGTTACAAATCAAATGAGGATACAACAGATGAACTCACTAGTTCAAGTAACCTGACGCGTGAAGTACTCTCTTCCAGTGGATCTGTGTCTGATTGGATTGAACCGTCTATTCATATCTGTAATTCGAAACTGTTGCAGTCATATGGATCTAACCGAGTTTATGATGCTTTCCATTTGCTGCAGACTGAACCTTCTATTCAGGTACTTAAGAGTGCACCTTCAGGATTTTTGTCTTTGAAATTTGTTAGTGTATACATGGATATCAGAAAGAGTTGCTTAATTTCACACTTCTGATTGTAATTGTGGTGTAACAAGTAGTCTTAGACCTTTTAGTATAGAATCCTAAGTTGCTCAGACTCTCCAAAAATGTTGCCGCACCCGTGTCAGATCCTTCAAAAATACACTATTTTTGGAGGATCTGACACGCACCTGTCGACATTTTTGAAGAGTCTGAGCAACATAGATAAAATCATAGTCCTTTGTTTGATTTCTTTTCAATAATCGAGGCATTGGCTCAACAGACAAAATTCTTAGAGAGAAGTAGTAATTTATCAGTTACCTTTGCATTAGATTGCATGGAGTTATTGTTGTTCGTAACTTATTAAAGATACTAAGATATTGTCTGAATGGTAATAGTTATATTTTTGGGCATACTCTATCATTTCATAATCAGCTCTTGATGACACACAAATTCCCTCCTGATTTTTTTAGAAAATGGTCATTTCACTGTCATCTGACAAGGCTGTTTGGGATGCTGTTCTGAACAATGAGGCGGTTCGGGAAATCAGAGACTCACTGAAACAAGGTTTGTACTACATATGATTTGCAGAGTAATTTATCTTTGGGAGTGTTTAGACATTTGCACCTCTGTTTATACTTTTAGCTGTTGAGTGGTCCAAGAAAACTTTCCACTTGTAACGACACTGCAGCATCTGTTTAAGCATGTTATGATGGCATACTTTTCTCTGTAAGGAATAAAAGCATCCTATCCTGCACAAAGTGTATACTAAGACAATGTTCAATGACGCTAGCTGGCTATGAGCTTTTGCTTGCAAAATTTGAACGAGGAAGAATCGTAAGAACTCTCTCAGTACTCATGGTTCAAAAAACCTAATTAAATATAACATAGTCACTACAAGTACTTATGTTCTTATCTGCAGCAAAAATGGCAGTCGTGGTGGCTTTTATGTTATCAAAATTAAATGCAGTATCTTAGGATCTTACCAATATACATGTACTGATTGAATGTAAGAAGATTATGATTTTCTATTAACATTAGCAAATAGAAACCTCTGATCTCTTTTTATACAAGCATAATTCAGAATTGTCAATGGTGCAGTTAATATATTTGACTACTCTGCATTTTAGTTGATGCAGCTGATAATGGCTTACAAGCTGGAAATTCTGAGGAGGGTCTTGAGAAGTCTGATTCAGATGAGACAGTCGACATAATCAGTTGGATTGTTGTGAACACCAAGGAAAAAGTGTTGGAAATAGTTGAGAAGATCATAGAGTTTGTGAATGAGTGGTTTCAGCCTCCTGAGGAGGAGAAAACATCAGAAGGGAATACTGATCCATTTGAGGAAAAACTGAGAACTTCCTTCTTCCTTTCCATCGTAGTTCTGCTGGTTGTTGTTGTTGCTCGAGCACAATGTGCGTAGACAACATAATTCGACGACATTACAGTTGGTAGTCCCCTTTCACTGTACTTTTGGAAGTGGGGAGTTGCAGTTTACTGTCTCACAGTATATGAAGCAAGAAACTAATTCAGAATTTTCTTGCGTACAGAATAAATGCTTTTGCCCAGAATTTTCCTTTGCTTTTGTGGTTTTTAATGATTTCTTCAATTTCACTGTTCTGATGTAATTAATGAGTGGCATGGCAACTCAATTTAATCCAAATATCCCCCCTTATTATGAACTGACATCAAATTATAGTGTGTAGACTGTAGAGTAAAGAGTTTATCTGATGTGATTATTGTGTCTTGCTTATTATTTTATTACAAAGAAAAATGCATCACTTCTCTTTTACTATAAGATGATTTATTTATTTTTTGGGTAGGAGTGCTTCCCCCGACTGGAGGCTTAAGCGTGCAAATTAGAATTAATCGAACTTTAATAATTGAATACCAAGAGAAAAAAATTAAAAAAATGGATGAGTCCTTGTCCACTTCTCTTTTACTAGGTTATTAATTACTGGTCAAGTTTTTCCACAGATATGACAACATTATATTCTTCTTGTGTTGATAGAATGACCACATCTTGTTTTGTTTTCTTTCATGGAATGACAACATTGTGATGCTCCAATTTGTTCACAAAAAAACACTATAAAAATAGGGCCAACATATGTTGATGTATTCACATTATTGTGAATGATGGTGAACAATGGTGCACCCCAAAGGAGTGTGCCTTAGAACACAGGTGTATTTTGGTCTACTCCTGTTTTGGACCCAAAATATGCTTGTGTTCTCAGGTCACCCCTTTGGGATCACCTTGCTTTTTTATTATTTTATATATATATATATATATTTCTTTTAAAGCTCTTTGTTTTTGTTGTTGACATTTTTTTGAATTATATTCCTCAATCATCATTCAATAATTATCGACCCATGATATTTCTATTATTTTTACGATTGTCTTTGAATGCTACTACTGGATCGAGATACTTTTTCTAAAATTTTACTAACTTATTCATTTATCAGATGCAGTGAAAAATCGTTGAAGCATATTGATGAATTCTTTTTCTATAAAGAATCACTCGAAGAGGTGGATTCCGTCAACTCCATTACCGTCAAGAAGCCACTGATAATTGTGTGTTTCTGACGGCCATTAAATCGATATTTTCATCGAATTTTTCAGAAATTCCAACAGTGGATTCTTCAGTATCTACACTTAGTTGTGTTCACTTCTTTTGTCCATTTGAGAATGGTATATTACACCAACAATATTAGAATATATTTTTATTGTGACACAATGACCACATCAGTATGTTATTGCCTTGCAAAGTTGCCCTACAATACCTTCTTCTTCTTGTTTTATTTAATGGAAAAGGATCTGAAAAATACTCTAACTTTGGCCGAAATTGTTGTTACGATACCAAACTTTATGGAGGACCTCTTACCCCTGCACTATTTTAATAGTGTATTTATGATGTTCACGTAGGCACATATATACCTTTAAAATACACTATTAAATAGTACAGGGGTAAAAGGTCATTTCCAAAGTTTGATATCGTAACAGCAATTTCGACCAAAGTTGAAGTATTTTTCAGACCATTTTCCCTTTATTTAACATTTGGTATTTAATATTGGGGTTTAATTAATGAATTTGCGTATTGCAATGTATATTTTTGTAGAGATGCTCCTATGAAAGTTATTTTTTTATGAGCGACTTGACCCTGAAATCTTTCATTAAGAAATTGAATAAAAGAATCTTAAATCATCCCTAATCCAGTTACAATTCATATTGGGTTCTTTCAAAGATAATGTCTTCCAAAAGTATTTGATGGTTATTTAAGATCTTATGTAGTCAAGCTAATTTGTTTTTCTTCTCTTTGGGGTTTTGAATTATGTGGTTCTTTTATCATAAAATTAAATTAATAGAGAAAAAATTATTTTTGTATTTTAATTGACTTGAAAGGTCAGTATATGATTTCTGAAAATGTTTGACAAGTATTAGAATAATTTAAGGTAAACTTATTATTTTTTCACTTTTTTAAAGCAAATGCAAACGAGAGCTCTAAGTCTTCTGTGTGTCTGTATAAGCATAAATTTTTTATTGAATTCAAATTCATAAAATAAGTTCGACTACATTAAATTTAAGACGATATAACTTTTTATTTATAATTCCAATTATATTTCAATAATATATTTCTGTAGTGTAAAACTACAAGTATATAATTTTAAAATATAGAAAGTGCAATTACCACATAGCATAATTGATTAGTTATAGTGACATCAACTTTTTACTTGTGGTGGCATATTATTTTAGACATCATTCTCTGTTTAGTTCAAACAACATCATCCTCTCTTTAGTTCAATTGAGTTGAAGTTTTAATTTGGAGGTCAAATGGCACTATCGTGCATTCCAAGAGTCCCGATACAAATCCTTAAATTTTCTTAAGAAGAATTTTGCTGCGTTCTTATCAGGTACTTGGTCTGCAATAGACTTTCCAGGCATGAAGAGAAAAGAACTCTTATCATCTGACACCAACATCACTAAGCAGCACAGCAGACAGCAGCTAACTTACCTAACAACAGGTAGAAATACAATTCCATTCACATTAGGCACCCTCAAAATAAACAATAACAAAGTGCAAATTGAAGAAAATTGCAGTAATTGGAAAAGAAAATTTGCTTCTACAGACTTCCACTAACCACTCAGCTATACCTATGGTAACCGACATGTCATAAACATGGGGAAAATCATGCACAGAAGATCTAACCGAGAGATAATAAATCAAATTAACACGAACAAGTGTTAACCAGCTATTTGACAACCTCCCACTAATTCTAGACAAAACAATGGACAAAGAAAGAGGAGAGATATTTTGCAAGTAAACAGAAATGTTTGGTCAACTACCAAAAAAATAATAATTTACGCATCCACCTTCACACTGATGAACATCGTGCCCAGGATGTGACCACCAAAACAAAATAGGGACGGGCAACCATCTTTACTAACAAACCAGTTTCGAGTAGATCCTGATTCATGGAAAGGAGGGGACAAAGACGAAAGAAAAATCATGTATAGTTAAGCAAAAACAACTAAAAATAGACCCCCCACCCCACCCCCAAAGAAATATAGGTTCAAATATAACCTAAAGAATACAAATGATTCTTCAGAACTAACAAGTGCCTAGATGAGTTCTTCCTGTACGCCAAATATTAACTTGTCCACCAGTGAAAGGATGAATCAAGAGATCTTCTGAAATGGGGAGCCATCCCTGCTATCAGTACACGCTACTAACAACCAACTGAAAGAAGTTAGTCTAAAACAGAAGGTTTAAAAAGGAAAAAGAAACAAAATAATACAGCAATAGTGAACCTATATCCAAAAATACCAGATGCCAAAACCAACGCTTAACAGAAATACTAAGCTTCCACACATTATCCAAACTCACCATACAGGCTAAAGTTCAACTACTCAACATCTCAACCCCAATAGAGCCCTATGCAAAAATATGATCGACCACACCAGAAGCTTGAATGGTCCTACAATCTTAGCAAAGACATTTAGGTGTACTAGTTGTCTCAAGAATACCAGACATTTGGTGGATCAGTAAAGAGAAGACCCCACTATGACAAACAGAAATATAAGGCATTAATGAGCATAGTTCCTACATGAGAACCCACACAAGAAGCCATGTCTCGGGTTCCAACCAAAACTATCCACAGTTAATTTGTGAACACCCGTCCCACCCAAGTTCTTTACCCAAAAAAATTAAATAAATTAACAGAAACAAATTACATCTCAAGAAAATGATTGGATGAGAGCAAAGCCCTGAAGAGCAAAAAGTAGAAAAAACACTTCTGCGGAGATGTAGCTTGAAATGTCTCAACTATGTATTCACAAGAATAAAAGAAGAGATGTACAAATATATTCATCCTCACAAGATCTCCTATTTACTATGTGATTCAACCACTTTGTCTGCTAGTGCTTTCCGTTTCTCTAAGACTTCCGAGCCACAAATCAAAATCTAAGATAACAATGTCAAATTCAAAGTGACTGCTAGCTTCCTGCTATAGCAGTGCTCTTCATTGGAAGAGTATTGAAATAGTCATGTACTTGATTCCCACACACCCCGCCCCCTTCAAATAAAAAGTTCATAACCAGGTTAGAAATGTCCTAGTTTAGCCCATCACATTTAAATGCTACTCATCCTCACAGAAATTCCCATTTGCACAGAAAACTTTCTTGATAAACATCACAGAAAATCCAAAATAAAGTTCTAATTAAGATACCCAACAAGAAGAGTAATTTTCAAACACAAATCAGTCCAGCACGGGATATCATATTCCAATACAAGCATCTTTTCCTGTCACAAGACATCTGGAAAATGTATCAGAATGAGTAATAAAATTAATTCGTAGACATGTGAATGCAGTCATCATACTATCAAATTCACATACCCTGGGAACCTTGAAAATTTGAAGATGCATCACCTTTTGGGAGGAATAGCAGAGGCAAGCATCAGGCTGCTTTCTGAACTCTCAATAGTTAAATGACCCCAGAAAAGTAAAAGAGATAACCAAGTTAAAAGAAAAAAGTAAAGGAGGATTAGTGGTGAAAAAGCTAAAGTGGAGAGAAACACACAAACTGTCAGTGATTAGTCATCAAGAAAATCCAACAAATCATTAAAATAAAATTTGAAAAACAATGCTGGAAGGCAATCCCCAGAATTAGTGGTGAAGAAGCCAAAGTGGAGAGAAACACACAAACAGTCAGTGATTAGTCATCAAGAAAATCCAACAAATCATTAAAATAAAATTTGAAAAACAATGCTGGAAGGCAATCCCCAGAAACGAATCCTACAAAAAGCATAATTAATGTCCATAATCCACTGATTTAATGCTCCAACACAATCTGGATGAACTGAATGTCTCATCTCTCTGCATAACAGTACAACAAGGTTAAAGATGTGAGTCTGAAACTTCCAACAACTAAGTCATGGCAAGAGGGAAGAAATCAGGTGAAATGCTCCAACACATCAGCCTGCCAAAATATTACAACGTTAACAAAGGAGAAGAGTTAAGAATGAAAATCATCCAGTAACAAATAAATTATGAAATGCTCACTGCTTCAGAAAAAAATACTCCCGCCGTCCCATTTTATGTGGCAACATTTGACCAGGCACGGAGTTTAAGAAATAAATGAAGACTTTGAAATGTTTACCAAATTGCCCAATAAAAAATTAGACTCACTTTTCTCTCTCCTCATAAATGTATTGGAGTATTATTTTAAGATTAAGTGGGACCAACAACGGTAAAAGAGGAATTGTACCTTTAAATACTTACCATATTAGGAAATGTGACATTCTTTTTGGGACTGACCAAAAAGGAAATGCTGCCACATAAAATGGGACGGAGGGAGTAGTTAACAGAAAGGGGAAAGAAAAAGGATGAACTAAAAAGCAACCAAGTATTCGTGGGACGGAAACAAGCTTTAATATAGATACTTGCAATCAAGAAAAATCTCATATCTTTCAAGAATTCATGAACATACAAACCAATACACACATATTACATATATATATATAGAGAGAGAGAGAGAGTTAGGTTGCTGGAGAACAGGGCCGGCTCAATGCCTTTGAAAATAAGGCATCCAAATTAGAGGGGCCCGATTTTTAGTAATACTCTCTGTTGGTCAAGTTTGACTTGACACCGAGTTTAAGAAAATAAAGAAGATTTTTCAATTTTGTGGTCCTAAATTAAAGTTGTCAAATATTCCAAAATACCGTTAATCTTGTGGCCTTGAACATGCCGGGTGTAAAGTTAAAATTAAAGTGTTGCCAAAAAAGGAAAGGGGTCATTCTTTTTTAAAAAGACTAAAAAGGAAAGGATGTCATTCTTTTTTAAACAGAGGGAGTAATAGAATTATTAAAGTTTTTTTAAAAAATTGTAAAGCCTCATTCTAATTTATTTGTCTTACATTTCTTTTTAGTTCGTTTCAAAAAGAATGATTCTTTTTTTCAAATTTTGATTTTACTTTCCACCCAACATGTTCAAGACCATAATATTAAATGACACTTTAGTGTATTATACATATCATAGTTTAAGACCATAAATTCAAAAATCTTCTCTACTATCTACTATTTATTCCGTGTTGAGACAAACCCAACAAACAATTGAAACAAATTGAGTACTATTTATAGAAAAAAAGTAAAAAAAAATAACTTTGCATTCTAAATATAATCTTAAATACATTAAGATAGCTGAATAGAATTTAAATTAAAAAAATTAAAAAGAATCAAAAAATTTAAGGTCTCCAATTTAAGATGCAATTTAAGATGTATACATGTGTAAATGCCTGAAAGGTGAACATCAAAGAGCATGACAAAATAGCAAATTTGAAAACAGATTTGGTAAGAGATTTCCAACCTAATCGTGCAGGGTGATACAGCAATTGCATCATGACTTCATTTCTGACATGAACTTCTCATATTCTGCATCCGCACCATAAGCAGGCTTCTCTGCTGATGATGGAGGTGCATGAGTTGGTGGATTTGGAGCCCAAGGAACATTACTCATACCCTGTGAATAGTTCCCATTGGACTGGGATGCAGATGGAGGAGGAGGTGGTGGTGTGACACCATAATAAGATGGATAGCTGTATGATGATGTTGGGTATGCAGGCTGAGCATTAGGTGGCATTGCTTTGACAGAATTGCCATACACACTTTGAGATTGCATTCCAGGAGGATAGTTTTGCTGTGCCTCACCAGGAGATGTATAAGTTTGTTGGTTTTCACCAGAAGAAACCGTCTGAGCAGGGGCACCAGAAGATGCTGCCGGAATTGAAGGAGGATACTGCATTCCATATGGAGGGATGGGTTGACCTGCGACAGGAGGATACATGGCTGCGCCAGGAGGAGGAGGTGGGTACTGGGCATATGGCGGAGGCACAGGTGGTCCCCATGGAACTGGAGCACCAGGTGGGGGATAGCTACCAGGGGGATTGCCAATGGGACCACCAGCTGCATACCGCTGGGATGGATATGCGCCCATGCTCTGATTAGGAACCGGATATGAAGGCATTGCCGGAGCAGGTCCTGGAGGCACAGCAGGCTGAGGCGGCTTACCTGCAACTCTCACAGCAATGGTTCTTCCGTCAAGACGGTGGCCATTCATGCTAGTTATAGCACTATTAGCTTGTTGAACATCCGCAAACTTAACAAATCCATAACCTTTACTCAGACCACTTAGACGATCCTTTATAACTTTAGCCATTACAATGGTACCAATATGAGAGAATAAATTGATCAAACCGTCATCTTCAAGAGTAGGTGGCAAGTAACCGATGTACAAGTTTGTCTCGTCAAACTCCTTTGGCTTTAGTATACTTGACCCTAAGCCAGGATGTGAACTGGCACCAGCACCACCAGTATTATTATTGCTTGCCCAAGGAGGATTGCTTCCTGAGTTTCCAGCACCAAGAGCTAGCGCTGCTGGGTTTTGCTTTGTTAATGATTCAGGAATCGTACCTCCCAACTCTGCCAGAAAATTCTGATACTCATCATCCATTTTCTTGCCGGTAGTATTTTTCACTGGACAGTCGATAGTAGGATGTCCCCCATCACCACATATTTTACACAGAACGTCACTCTTAAAGGTGGTGGTGCGAGAAGGACATGCATACTGCCTATGCCCTGGTTCACCACATAGCCTACAAAACTCCTCATCTCTAATTGTTCCATTCAAAGCAGCAAGTTCCTTAAGTTGTTGCCTCTTATGTTCATTGAGCACTTCATCAACAGGCTGCAAGAGCTTCTCTATCATAGCAGCAGCACCTTCAAGTGACTCCTGGTTCTCAGCTTCCACTAACACATGTAAATCTTCGTTTTCTGCTGGGTCAGGTTTTAAATTCCCCTTTTGCTGGAACCTACCCTCCTTGATTGACCCTTTGCCTCGAATTACAATCTTTGCTCCCGTCTCCTTTTCCATCCTCTTCTGAGTATTCCCTCTTGGACCAATAATCAGCCCAATAAAATTATAACCAGGGAACTCCTTCATGGGAATGTATAGCTTCTTTTGAAGCTTGGGAGGCCTATAATCAGCAGGAGGCTTAAAAGCAGGGTTCTTCTTAATGATTTGTGATATAATCTCTTGTCTCTCCCTATTCAGCTTTTCTCGTGCGCGATACTCCCTGGTGTTTATACGAATTCCCATATTATCATATATAGGTTCAGGCGAAGGCGACCTAGCACCGTCAGGTCTATCATCTAAGGGCATACCCGATTGCAATTTCCTACTAATTTCAAGTAATCTACTATTAAGAGCTTGGATTTCAGGATCGAACTCAATACCTCCAGTGAAATCTTTCATGAAATCCGGCAATTGAATAACGGGTTTGGGCTCATCATCAGCCCACCTTGACTTCCTCTTTCTTCCGGTCCCACTCCCATCACCGCCGCCGGTCCCATCATTGGTTGATTCAGTGGGAGGTGGGTCCCAACGGCTCCTCCGTCTCCTTCTACTGCTGGTTTCTTCCTCACCGCCTGATTGGTCCCTGTCGGTGCCGCTGTGAGTATTTGTCAACCCGTTTTCCGACAATAACGGCCTCTGAATCTCGCGCTTCAGAGTGAATTCACCTAATTTTTGCTCCTCTGATGCTTGATTTGGACCGGTATTGTCAGAAGCGTGAAGTTGGGCATCATATGAAGCTTGGTTTTGTGATGAGTTGTGATCTAGGGTTTCAACTGAGGGAGATTGAGATTGGTAATCCATTGTACAGAGATGCCAATTGGGGAAGGCAATATGGAACAGGGCGTGTATTTATAGACTTGACATTTTGTGGTCGTACCAAACCACATCCAAGTAGGTTTGGGTTTGGATGCTATTCTTCTCCATCTCTTCCAATTTAATGTCACCACATTTTACGCAAGTAAGTTTACACTACCTTTTAAATAAATAAATGAATATAAAATAATTTATTTTGATTAATTAAACTGATTAATGAACATGAATTAATCATTTAGTTTTTCGATCTTGGTCAAATTCTACTCTATTGTTTTTTCTAGAGATTTGTTTATGGGCATGCATTTTAGGTTAAAGAAACTTAAAAGGCAATATTATTAATAGTTAAAGAAAGAGATTTTATAATGACTCTCTTTAAACGGAGAATATCTGTCATTCATATATATAGTATTTACATCAGATTTGAAATACATGAGATAGACTTTGCATGAGAGTAAATCATCTAAATACTAGCTAACTAGCATTCAAAGGATAATTCAAACTATAGTGATAAGACTATAATTGTTTATCCTTAATATCCCCTATCAAGTTCAACGGTAGTGTACATATATTGAGCTTGTCACAGAAATGAATAAAAAAAGATGAGCCAAGTGCCTTTGTGAAGATATCCGCATATTGATCTTGAGTCGGAACATAACGAATAAACAACAATAAACCTTGCTCAACTCTTTCATGAATAAATTGATAATCAATCTCGATATGTTTTGATCAATTGTGAAAAAATGGATTGGTACACATATAAAGTGCGCTTAGATTATCAAATAGGAGCACGAGTGGCTTGGTGCAAGTGACACCAAATTTAAATAATAGATTCTTGAGCCAGGCCACTTCGGTCGTGGCAGAGGCAAATGATCTATACTCTGCATCGGTGCTTCCGTGACGACCACCTTACAAGATTATCCCTTAGAAAAATTGTATAGCCATGGTGAGAGCGACGATCAATAATGTCGACAATATATTAAGCTTGAAGAGGCTGATCTGATGATGGAAAGAAATTGGAGACTAAGATGAAAAGTTCCCTTAAGGTAGCGCAAAACGTGTTTAATTGCATGCCAGTGAGATAGTTGAGGATCATGTATAAACTAACAAACTCAATCAGGATAATAAATTTTTGAACGAGTAATGATGACATATTGCAACGCACCAACAATACTACGATATAAAGTGGCATCTGGAGCAGGCGATCCATAATGTGTGAGAGTAGAGTCCACATGGGTTCGTAATGGTTTAGTATCTTGAAAGTGTTTACGCTTGAGGAGATCTTTGATGTATGAAGTTTGAGATGTATCAAAGAACCATTGTGATGCCAAGAAAGAAACTCAGATTCTCCAAGTCCTTAAGGGAGAAAACATAGTTCAAAGTAGTTGTAAAGGTGGAGATAAAATTAGAGTCATTACTTGTAAGAATGATATCATCCACGTAGATGAGAAGGTAGGTAAGTTTAGAGCCACGATTGCGAACAAATAGGGATGAGTCAGTATAACAACTCTGAAATCCCTGTTGCACAAAAAAAAATCAGTTTTATAAACCAAGCTCAAGGAGATTGTTTCAACTATAAAGTATTTTTCTTAGGCGACAAACGTGATTAGGATGTTGAGGATCGACAAAGCTAGGGGGATGAGACAAGTAAAAAGCCTCTTGAAGATCGCTATTTAAGAAAGCATTATTAACATCAAGTGGTTTAAGTGACCAGACGCAAGCAAACGCAAGTGATAAGACCACCTGAATGGTAGTATGCTTCACAATCAGGCCAAAGGTATCAAAATAATCAACACCCTTTTCTTAGTGATACACACGATATACTTTATACAACTCTATTTTCCAATTAGCATGTCGTTTAATTTTGAATATCCACCTGCACCCGACAATGTTGACATGAAAAAAACATGGCTCGAGGAATGAAGTGTCATTACGAATTAAGAAATTATACTCATGTGACGTGATCTCACACTATTCAGGAGATGAGATTGCTTGCTTATAGGTTTTTGTTCCATTGGAGAAGAGGAGAAGGTGGTCTACAGTAGATAAGAATGTCTTGGCTTAAGCAGAATTAGTTTGGGCTCTAGTAGACATGAGGTATATAGAAGTTGAGGATTAACGACGGTAAGAAAGGGTAGAAGATGGAGAAACAGAACGTGGAGAAGTGGAAACGGGAGACAGAGAAACAGATGGATTGGGTGGTTCTAAGTGTTGAGAGGTGGTAGAAAAGAGAGGCGATAAGGATGATGGTGTACTCGATGAAAGAATTGAACTATCGAGGTGTGAAGAAATGGACGAGGACGCAACAAGGACCAAAAAATGGTCGATTGATGGTGACACAACCTTGAGTGTGGGCATCCGAGTACAATCGAGATATTTTTCCAGTTAAACACCTCAAGAGTATATCTGATTATAGTTTTTCACAATAGATAATTATCTTGTTTAAGTGTAAAATTGAGATGAGGTAAAAAAAACTTTTGTTGTTTGATCCTCCTAATAGAGCACAAGTAGATTGTTTGGCTCAAGAAGATTGATTTTCAGAAGCCATAAGGAGGGAATAAAAGAATAAGAAGCAGGAATCGCACATTGCTCATATATCAAGTTAAAGAAAGAGATTTTTATAATGACTCTTGTTAAAGTGATAGTATCTTCCATTTATATATATAGTATTTACATCATGTTTGAAATAAATGAGAGTAAATCTCCTAAATACTAGCTAACTAACATTCGAAGCATAATTCAAACTATATAGTGATAAGACTACAATTGTTTATCCTTAATATTATACTGTAGTAACTTAACTGTGCAACCAATCATGTAATATTAGGAAACTATTTGGACTCAAACTCAACCATTGAAGAGTTTCATTCTATCATAATATCACTAGTGTGATAATATATGAGTCTAAAATTATATGACGTCATTATGAATATTTTATTACACCATCAAGTTATCCTAAGAATATTTATACGTAAACCTACTTAAAACATAAAATCTAAAATCTTGAAATAAGACACATTATGTCATGACCCGAGTCTACACCCTGGATGTGACCGGCACTCGAGAATCATTGTTGGTCCCCAAGCGAACCCTCATCATGGCTAACTACAAGCGGAAGACTAACTCAAGCATACAAAAGCTTAAAAACTGAATAAAATCATGAAACTCAAATACAAAGCTTTAACTCAAATGATTTACTTTGAATATAAATAGAATATTCAACAAGCCAACAATAGGCAACTCAAGTCTTTAAAACATTTAATAAGATAAATGAAACAGACTTCTCAAACTCTATTGTCTATCTATGAAGCCTCTAAATGACAAAGATATAAGTCGAGACAAGACTCACGACATCCTAACAAAACTGAAAAGTAAATGAAATCCTCTAAAAGCAAGTAGGCTCACCATAGCTAACTCGAACTCCATGTGGTATCAATGAAGCTCTGGTTGATGACCCTGAATACTTGTATTTGTTTCATGAAACCATGCAGGCCAAATGGCTCAGTACATGAAATGTACGAGCATGAAAGGGGAATTCTAAAGCATAAACATAAGCTTGAACTTGATAAAAAGAACATACTTACATCTTCTCAACTCACTCAACTAAACTCAACTCAAGAATAAGATACTCAACTCAAACATTAGATACTTAACTCAAAGGTACTCAACTCAAGATACTCAACCCAAGATACTCAACTCAAGATAAAGCAACAATAAAATATGCGATATATGGAAAGCTTTTAAAATAATATATAGAAACTCAATGTATTGAAAAATACAATAATAACTCAGTTTGTATATAAAAATACAATATAACTTTGTGGGAGTTTCTCTAATCGACAACCATCACTATGAGCTATATGATGATACATCGTCTCGCCCACGTTGCCAGAACTATCCTATACCTTGCCGGGGTATAAAACATCTCAACTAAGTGGATCCACTAGTCTATGCTAAAAAACATGAAGGAATCATCTAAAAGGTATGACCCTTTCTACCCACGTTGGATATATGGTTTATGGAGACTTGAGTTATCTGAACTCATTCCCATATCGGTGTTCAATACTACTCCCAAAATGTAACTAGCTCATATGTTTAAAAATATAACTTTTTCTATGGTTTGAGATTATTACTCAAAATCTTTCTCTTAAAAGAGATGGTACTCAAACTGCTCAAAACTCTTTTGGAAATCTCAGTTTCCTCTTATCTTAAATGTAAAAACATTTACTCTTGGGAATACTTAGTTCTCATATATCATTTTAAAGAAAATGAACCCAGCTCCACTCTTCCTCAACTCAGTGCTCAAGTATTTAAAACAAGTTTTAAAACAATTTGAAAAAAGACTTTTTAAAATAGGGTTCATGCAGAATTATGGACGTGAACGAATCAATTCAAGGTTTTCAATAATCATGCATAAAACTCAATACTTGAAACTCAAAGACTTCAATGATACTACTTATTTCAAGAATACTCAACTCAGAGGGTTCATGCGGAATTATGGGCACAAACAACTCAACTCAAGGACTTCATGATACTACCTTATCTCAAGAATGCTCAACTCATAGGGTTCATGCGGAATTATGGGCATGAACAACTTAACTCAAGGACCTTCATGGGTAGCATATTATAGTATCATGACTAGGAATATAATCTCAAAAGGATTGGGAACTTAATACTCAAGATGTGGAACTCAAAGATGCTACTCCTCTCGAAGACACTCAATGTATGGAGTTCATGCGGAATTTATGAGCATGAACGACTCGACTCAAGGGTCTAAAGAACGTTATAGAACTCATGCATACGACTCTTCTCATTCTCATACTTACTTCCTCAAAACTTAGTTCAAATCGATAGTTGATCTCAAAGGATTCACAATTGAACTCAAAGACTTTCTTGAACTCTACTCTTAACTCTCTCTTGAATGTGAATTATGAATTCAAGAGTAATGGTTCATGATACGAAGGATCTCGTAATGATAAAGTAGACTCATG